AATGGAATACGCCACGACAGTATGGGACCCGTACCAGCAAAACCACATAGATAAAATCGAAAAAGTACAAAGACGAGCTGCACGATATGTAACCAGCAGAATAGAAATAGATCAAGTGTCAGCAACCTGATAACTGAATTAGGATGGAAAAGCCTACAAACAAGACGAAAAGAAGCTCGACTCATTATGTGTTACAAAATAACAAACGACCTTGTAGCCATAGACAAGAGTAAATACCTACAAAAACCAACAAGAAGCTCTTACCTGGACAGGACATCATACCTACCTATTACAGCCAGCCACCAAAGATTGTAGGAAATGGTCCTTCTTCGTAAACACCGTCAAGGATTGGAACAAATTGCCTCCAGACATCGCCACAGCAAAGTCTCTTGAGATATTCAAGTCTCAAGTGACCAAAACTTCTAACTAAATCGATCAACAATTTGTTTTTAACCAGTTTTTAATCATGCGCAACTTGCCAGAATATTCATCATGTTGAATGAGGGCAGTATTTAGAAGAAGAAGAAGAAGATTTTTTTGCATATTTATCACATGTGTTCAGTTCTCATTAGAAACAAACTCGTTCGATTAACTTTGTATTTCTACCTAGATATTTTTAAGATTTTAAAATAATGATTAATCTATTTTTTAAATTCGTTTACTCATAACATCAGATAATGTACGTTGAACATATTATTTTGTAAAACATTTTTTGCCCATGCAACATTCGACAGACTGTGCACTCACATTATCTGAGAAATTTTGTTGACAAAGTTTCTAACTGGATAGTTTCCTGAAGATCGATTTAAAACCTTCCAGGACATTTACAGAGAAGCCCATGAAATCCACGGCGGAAGCCTTTAGTCAAGAGATATTCATAATCAATAGATGTTAGAATGCTTGTAAATTTAGCCGAAAGTGAGATTTGAAGCTTTAGAATGACTCTAGAAAATTAAATCCATCAAACAACACAGGCCATTATTTCGGAATCTTTTTCAAGGACATTATTACAGAAATGTTTTTCTTCAGTATGTTGTGTTTATCGTCCGCTTTCTATGCTTTTCAACAGTTCAAAACGGTAGATCTCCTTAGGCAAAAACATTTAAGTAAGAAATCTGATATTCAAAGTACAAATATATTTTCATTTAAGGATAAAACATAAATTTGAAATGTGTCACAGACAATAGAGATTATTAATGTTATAAATGTAAGAAATTAACACAGGAGAATGTATGATAAGGCCACTTTTTTTGGTCTCTTCTTAAACATTCTTTAGATGTCCATTAGATATAAGTCCAACAGTATTTCTAATTTATTAAATTTTTTTTTTACATTAGGGATTTTTTCCTGCATTGCAAAACTGCAAAAAAAACACACATTTAAGAGATCTAGTTATCTTAATTAAGTTATGGACCAATGATTTACCAAAAAAGAAATTTTGTCACAAGATAAGTTTTTCTTTACTTAGAAGTGAGCAAAAAATAACAAATTTCTATTTTTATAGCTTCTTTATACATAAGATTCTAGTGTGTGTAAAATATCTTTTTGGGTAAGGCCCAATTTCAGGGGCCAAACATGAGCAACCTTACCTGGAAACAATTGAACAAAACATAATCATATATCTTTCTCTCAGTAATTCACGGCATTTTTTTTCTCATTTAAATCACATTTTCATCTCATTTATTGACAGCAGTAATACGAATGTGTCTTTATTATTTAGTCATTTTCAAGAACTTTCCTTATTTAAAAAAATGCTTTTTTTGACAAACAATCTTTGTCACAGGTGACCACGGATATGTTCCATTTGTCATAGCCACAATCCCCTTTACCTTTCATGAAGTTCAGCCCTAATTTTTATTGGGGTTAAGGTTATTTTTCCTTTCTTTGTATTTTATTCTCAATGTATTGTCTCTATTGGTATTTATCTTGTTTTTTTCCATTGTCCTGAAAGTAAAGTGCGTTTTCTTTATAGACGTTCGTTTGTTGTCATGTGTTAGGCTAAGAATAGTTACTTGGGACGGTGGTTCATAAATATGGGTTATGTCTTATGGTTTGACAGGAGAAAGTAATACCATTTCGCTACTGTATGATACGCATTTTCTCGACTGAGGACAAGAAATTAGTATCAGCTTATTGCATTCTCACAGATATAATAATTCAAATAATTTATTTTTCAAACTTAATATTAAGAATAGAACTGGCGAGTATAGAATCTGGAGTAAGTATGCTTTACTTATATCCAATCCATTGAGCAAATAGAGTATGTTTCAGCTAAGTCAAAAGTATAACTGATATTCGAATTAAGGTGTAAAATCGATGTAAAACTAAACTGTGTCATGTGAATCTTTTAATTCCATCTAGTTTGAATGTTTACTTTGTAGAATAATTATTTCAATAAGGTTTTGTGATATTTTTTGTCGTCGTTGTCCCGTTCATTATTCCCTCTGAAGAATCTTTAGAACGTTTACAGAATACTAATCACTTGTTTTATTCTTGATCGCTGTTTATTTCATTGAGTTTATGTGAAGTTTGTCCGTAAGACGCAAGGAATACTCTATTGAATTATTTCGGCTCGTTTTACAAACATTTCAGTATTCTCTCTTGATTAGATTTCTGCGACAACGAGGAACATTTTACGTTGTCGAGATGGGACAAGAAATAAATCCTCTGTATTGAGTATGACACAAACTGTTAATAGGAAAAAGTAGAGGATTTACCATTCTTTATTAAAGAACTTTGAGGAAACTAAACAAGTCAAGGATAGGTTTTAATCGGTTGAATGACTGATCGTTTCAATATGAAATTAAAATTTAACATCCGTTCTAGTGTATACATTTCTGTCCCATTTTTGCAATCACTAGACTCAGTCGTCTGTGTGCCTTACGAAAAAGTTATCAAAAACTATACTGTCAGCGGGTTAATACCAAACCGTATCCATCTAGATGAAAATTATGTCACCAATGCCCGCCGATTGTTAAACATGAACGGATCTATATCGTTTCTTGTGGACTAACTGTCACCGACGGTATCTTCCGCCAAGGTCTATATATACCGTTTCTGGTGGACTAACTGTCACCGACGGTATCTTCTGCCAAGGAACCATTGCTTTCGTATTGGCATGATTCAAATTATATGATTACTATTCATAAAACTATAAATGTGATAAAGCCACAGTTGTAACTCCCTCATATAAAGTTGACGTCAGACGGTTTCAGATTTTGTTTTAGCCCATTTAGTTGTCGTTCTCCCCAATGTATTATATGTCTTGCTGCCTAAAGCTTTGAACTCGATCGAGTGTACCTGATGAATTTAATACACAAACACTTGATGTGTGTAAAGTATTCATGTCTTACATTTTTACATCTTATTCTAAAATGTAACTCTTGCCATCCATAACTACTATATATCTCCAATCATATTAATGCAGTATGTTGGTTAGTCAAAGCCATTTCATTAACGGTTTAAATGGTCTTTGCAGTGACCATGACTGTTAGACCTCTCACTCTTGTCTTACTTTGAGATCTACTGATCACACTAAGGCAGATTTTAACTAAATGCTGCATTATAGGTGTTGATGGCAGATCTTTATAGGTGTTGATGGCAGATCTTTGACTGTCTTTCAAATTTATTCAGAACTTTTATAGACTCGGGACGATTTAGAGCTTGACTGCTATCTATTGTTGATGATTGTATGTTGCCCTCTGAAGTCTTTTGGTTATTTTTGTTGTTGGGTTGCTGTCACATTGACGTCTACCATACATCCCCCTTTTATACCCCATACAATTGACCACAGCATGGCATGGTCCAGAGAAAAGAGAATCTTATGGGAATGATTTTGGAAATGAAAATTAAAACACTGGCTCAAAACGGGATACTTAAACGATTCTCAGGATAAAAGACCGTAGCAAATTGAGGTTCAGTTTATATGGTTTCAAGTTATTTTAACAGTTTCATTTAACAGATACTGACGAAGAATATTTGTTTCTACGTCATGTACGTAGCATTTAGGAGGAAGAACAAACACTAGTCGGCTCGGAGTAAGATTAATGTGTCCGTGTAGTGATGAGATATGTCTTCCTGTCCTTAGCATGTTAAAGTGTCTGTCTATAACAGTACAAAGTAAGGTTAATATTCGTATCTCATTAAAATGTCCTCGTCCTGATATTAATGTAATTTTCACTACTTCACGTTAAACACTATACCATCATCATCATACCTCATACAACTATATATACGATTAATTTTCTCTAATGAATATCCGAGTTAAAGTCTACATAAGAGTTTTACTACACAACGTCTTAGCCTACCAATGTAAGAACTGAATTTTTGTTCTTCTATGTTTATATCGTTCCCTTGGGGGAATTCAAAAAGCAAATATCAACCTGCCTTCATTTTATCAAGTTAGTTAGTTTTTTTTTTTTAGAATACTTATAGAGTGATAACGTACATAATGAAAGGAGGACAACTCCAGCTTCTATGTTCAATAAGTAGTGAGGTGTTTATGTCCCATTTATTTCAATATTCAAATATAGCAATGTAAGAAACAGATACTTAACACTCTGAAATAAGACTGAGCTAATCTAAATTGACCGTAAACTGAGAGTATGAACAGTATAGAATTAACTGTAGAATAAAGATGTAAAAAAATAGCTGTAAACTGAGTGTCTGAACAGTACAAAATGAATTAGCTGTAAGGAACATACCACATCTTCTTATTTTTATATGTCTGAAATTAAACTGAAAAACGGAAGATATATATATAAAATAAAAATGTCTTGGATCAAAACAAAATGATCGTTTTGGAAAAAATGTTAATAAAAAGGAATATAGCAGTTCTGCTAAAAATTATTATGCCTTATTTTTATACCTCAACATAGAGAGAGAATAATAAAATAAAAGTTGCTATCCAATAAATAGCAAACTATTAAAGGATAGCCGCACCATAACTGGGAATTGGGTCTATACAACGTGTGAAAAAAAAAATCTTTTTTTTATTTCAGATTGCTGAAAAATATGCCTTTTTACCTCGAGAGGCTGTAACACGGTTTCTTATGTCATGTGCTGATTGCCAAAAGAGGATGCACTTATCTTCTGCCGATAGTTCAAATAACGAATCTGTCAACAATAGTTTTGTAATTCCCCAGTCGCAATACAACTTCAGAACAACGGAGCATGACAACGAAGCACAGAGTGTACCTATTGTAGACTTCAACATGCCAATTACTCAAACATACCTCAATCACCTCAAGTACAGAAACCTCCACACAGAAGCTTACAGCGACGAGGTAAGGCTTTATTATGTTTAACATCCACACAGAAGCTTACAGCGACGAGGTAAGGCTTTATTATGATTAACATCCACACAGAAGCTTACAGCGACGGGGTAAGGCTTTATTAAGTCTCCCAAACGAAGTTTGGGAAGACTTATTGTTTTTGCTCAGTTCTTATTATTATTCTTCTTCTTCTTCTTCTTCTTCTTCTTCTTCTTCTTCTTCTTCTTCTTCTTCCGCCGCTTTTAAATTTGAACTTGTCCGCACCCGTTCTCCAAAACCGCTTGTCGGATTAACTTAGGGTTTCACAATATGTTAGACTAACATGTCTAGTGGTGCAATCAGGGTTTTGTTTTTGCAATGGGGTTTATAAAGGGGTACTTTGAGGGGCAAAAAGAAAAGAGGGTTTTACTATAGAACCCTATGGGATTTTATTTTTTTAAATTTTCAAATGAATATAAATTGAAAACCGTTCGTGATAGACACAAACTTTTTAATTGAAAATGTTCTAAATGATAAAGCCCATTAAATGAAATACAGGGTTAGTCCCCAGGGGTCACCCCCAACCCCTGCCATTTAAGAAAGTTCTAATACCTTGTAAGTGGTCAAGATCCCCACCCCTAAACCATATATATTCTGGTTTGTCATGCTAAGATGGTTTGAATGATATACAGGGTTAGTCCCCAGGGGTCATCCCCACCCCCTGCCATTTAAGAAAGTTCTAATATCTTCTAAGTGGTCAAGATCCCCACCCCTAAACCATATATATTCTGGTTTGTCATGCTGAGATGATTTGAATGATATACAGGGTAAGTCCCCAGGGGTCATCCCGACCCCCTGCCATTTGAGAAAGTTCTAATATCTTGTAAATGGTTGAGATCCCCACCCCTAAACCATATATATTCTGGTTTGTCATGATAAAGCACATCAAATGTTATACAGGGTTAGTCCCCAGGGGTTACCCCCACCCCCTGCCATTTAAGAAAGTTCTAATATCTTGAAAGTGGTTAAGATCCCCACCCCTAAACCATATATATTCTGGTTTTTCATGCTAAGATGGTTTGAATGATATACAGGGTTAGTCCCCAGGTGTCATCCCAACCCCCTGCCATTTTAGAAAGTTCTAATATCTTGTAAATGGTCGAGATCCCCACCCCTAAACCATATATATTCTGGTTTGTCATGATAAAGCACATCAAATGTTATACAGGGTAAGTCCCCAGGGGTCACCCCACCCCCTGCCATTTAAGAAAGTTCTAATATCTTCTACGTGGTCAAGATCCCCACCCCTAAACCATATATATTCTGGTTTGTCATGCTGAGATGATTTGAATGATATACAGGGTAAGTCCCCAGGGGTCATCCCGACCCCCTGCCATTTGAGAAAGTTCTAATATCTTGTAAATGGTTGAGATCCCCACCCCTAAACCATATATATTCTGGTTTGTCATGATAAAGCACATCAAATTTTATACAGGGTTAGTCCCCAGCGGTCACCCCCACCCCTTGCCATTTGAGAAAGTTCTAATATCTTGTAAATGGTCGAGATCCCCACCCCTAAACCATATATATTCTGGTTTGTCATGATAAAGCACATCAAATGAAATACAGGGTTAGTCTCAAGGGGTCACCCCACCCCCTGCTATTTAAGAAAGTTCTAATATCTTCTAAGTGGTCAAGATCCCCACCCCTAAACCATATATATTCTGGTTTGTCATGCGAAGATGGTTTGAATGATATACAGGGTTAGTCCCCAGGGGTCATCCCGACCCCCTGCCATTTGAGAAAGTTCTAATATCTTGTAAATGGTTTAGATCCCCACCCCTAAACCATATATATTCCTGTTCGTCATGTAATGAACACTTGAATGACGTATAGGGCCAGTCCCCAGGGGTTCCTCCCCACCCCCAATATTCTAGTATCTTGTAAATGGTCGAGATCCCCACCCCTAAACCATATATATTCTGGTTTGTCATGCCAAGATGATTTGAATGATATACAAGGTTAGTCCCCAGGCATCACTAATGCATATAACTTTACTGGACCAAACCAATTTTCACTGGACGTTGCCCAATGTCAGGCGACCCTGGGAATTACGAATTATGGGAGCTTCGTTTGGGAGACTTCGTAACAGCATCCTGTTACAATCATTTCTTGTTATGTTTAACATCCACACAGAAGCTTACAGCGTCGAGGTAAGGCTTTATTATGTTTAACATCCACACAGAAGCTTACAGCGACGAGGTAAGGCTTTATTGTTTTTACTTTGTAGGGTATTGTTATGACAATCTGAACGAGGTGTACTGATTGATACCTTAGTATGAGTAAACATGATTTATTTATTAGTTGAAATTGGGTTTTATATTACCTTTCGGTAGTTGAGAGTTCTCTTAGATCGGTAATGTGGGTCTTTGTATTTTTGTTTTGGTACCGATCTGATGAGACAAGCCCTTTCCATCTGATTTTCACTCCCATCATATTCTTTAAATGACTTGTATAGCTTAGGGGACAACCATTTGATATTCTGGGGGGGGGGGGGGGGGGGGGGGGCAGGAGGATTTGTTTTTGATCGGTTATTTATTTTTGTAAACTAAGAGGACAGATTATCTATTTTCTGCACTGTTGAAGCAAGATTTTTCATTTTCATTAAAGCAAGGGACTGATTATTTATTTTCACAACTATATTTATAATATTTGAAAACATACAATTTTTAAATTCATTTTTTATTATAAATAATACATGAATAGTCCAATCATTATGTACCATTTAATCAGAATTGATCATCATCTTCTGAATTCCCAACTGCATATACATGTATTGCATACATACAAGATATTAAAGTTTGGCTGTAATTAGTGTCTTTTAAAAGTATTGCAAATCATTTATGCCGAGCGGAGCGAGGCTAAAAAAAAATTGAAGGGTTTTGGAGCCGCTGAAGGCCCCAAGTTGCTATAGAACTAATGATGCAAAATGTGTTTCCCATACCCTTTCTTAATCTGAAAATGAAAGTTCTGTTTTAATCATTTTTTGACAATATTTTGGTCTCAAAGCAACATGTATAGATTCAGTGTAAGACTTAAGTTTTCAGGAACAACATCAAAAGACAAAGATAAAGCAAAAATTTAATTCACATAGTTAAGTATGTGGCTGCTGTTTTTTTTAAACTCTTGATCAAGTTAATAACAAAATTACTAAATTACAAAAGGAATGCAACACTAACAGAATACAGAAGGGCAATCAATGAACAAAAGACAAATAAATAAGAAACATTGATCCCCAAAAAACAGGAGCTACGTCTGAGGGAGAACAGAACTTGCTTCTTGCAAGACACTTGCCGTGAAAACAATTTGATATAAAGACAAGCTTTTGGTTTTGAAATTTCCTACATGAGGCATTTGCCTGAATGTAGTTACTGCCATATGTAATAAAAGTGAGTTAAGTGTTCCTGAGACAATAAACCTCAAGTTAAATGAAACCCATTTTTCAGACATTTCAAGTATTTTAAATAATATTTATACTTTTATTATTCAAAGATTTGGGAAGTGATTCCCGATTTTTTTTGAAAAAAAAAATTGAATTTTATGAAGAATCTGGTGCAATCTCATGCTCTCAAATAGACCTGCCGAGTTATTTATTTTTAATACATTGCAAGTCAGGTTATTTATTTTCAAACTACCACAGAAAAAACCATTTATTTTTGTGATTATCAAGGCTGAGTTATTTATTTTCAAAATCCTCCTGCCCCCCCCCCCCCCCCCCCCAAGAATATCAAATGGTCGTCCCCTTACTATACGGCGTGAGTTTTTGGTCATTATTGAAGGCAATTCGGCGACCTTTAGTTGGACACTTTATTTGGTCTCTGGTAGATAGTTGTCGCATTGGCAATCATACCACATCTACTTATTTTGATATTTCTTAGGTCAGTTCACTTAGCATCTTTATTTTCTTTGTAACTGGAAAAATGGGTATCTTAAAGTGACAAATACGGAACATCTGCTCATTTTCAGTCAGATTTTTTATTAGGAAATATGCAAGTGATTTAGATTCAAGATAAGATATAAATTTTAGAAAATTAGTTTTCTTGTTGTAAGGAAATATTTAAGGAGTATACATGAAAAGAGATTGGGGTATACGGCAATGAGATAACAACCGTAAAACATACCAGAAAAAGGGTGTCTTATAGATTTGTTACATTTACTCACTGTTGACCAAACGTACCCAATGGTCGGGTTGTTGTCTCTTTGACACATTACCCGTTTCCATTCTCCATTCTAGTCAATATTATTCTGAAAAGAAATAAAATTTGCAGTCAATAAGGATTAGCAACAGTAAATGGACTATGCTGCAGTTGTTTATACAATTTTCCATACAATTTGGACATGTAGGACTTTTAACTCAAAATAGAAAAAATAAACAATTCATTCAGGTTTGTTTTTATTTTCTAAAAGATTATTTAAAGGAAAACTGTTTTATGTAGTATTCACATAAAAATTGTGAAAAAAACGTTCCAAAATGATACTGAAATATTTAACCCATTTCAAAAATAAATGTTGCCAGATACATTTCCGTTTTATTAAGTAAATAATCATTAATTGAGTCACACTCTTAGTTGCTGATGTAAACACGCAGTGTATTGCTTGAGAAAAAAAAACAACGACGATAAAATGCCGAACTAAGCGTTGCATTGTAGCGGTGTAAAAAAATGAAACAACATTATGCGTTCGAAGCGCTTTTATGGATTCACCTTCATCAGAAAAGCTCAAAACCGAATATTTGAAAGTCAATGATGTATAAGAACCGAAACAGTTGAAGAGCTATGTGATCAAAAAGGACATAAAAAAATAGCCAAATCCGTCTAAGGTCAACTTTGCCTGAGGGAGTTGAAACCTTAGTTTCTTTATAATTTCATTTATAAACGAAATCATGTCAGTACAGAAGTTCTGACTACTGAGCTGATGATACCATCGGGGACTGATAGCCCACCAGCAGAGGTATCGATCTTATGTTAAAGAGT